AGACAAGGTTCTGATGCAAAGTGTAAGCCGTTCCAAAATGTACGCTGCCTCTTAAAATATCTAATTTTATTCAAATTCTAAGGGAACATTTACACAGAATGCATTTTTCATGTTTAAAAATGCAAGACATGACAGTGTGAGGGGGGTTCAAGGTCTAGAGATGCATTTTTTTTACAAGTTGAACTTATTTTAACTTGAGTGCTGTGTTTTAGAATATGGTGTCATGCTTGCAAGTTGTAATAGACACAAGATATGATTGCCACAGTCAAACATGTCTGTCTAGCCCATGTTTATGTAGTCCATGAAAATGCAGAAACACATTCTGTGTGAATGGCCCCTAAAAGCCAATTCACATCGCACCGACAAACGCCAACAGACTTCAAGTCAGGGAGAGTTAACTAGGGGGGGAAATGGATGATCTTGTAACAACAATCAAAATGATACTGTTATTAATGTCTTTGGTATTATTGTAAGGCAGTTTTATTATAATAATAATATATTGTCAAATAAATTTCCGTTGTGAAATTTCCCAAGCGCTATAGCGATCGATCTGTTCGCATTCCCCCTCGCGCTGCGGTTGGTATACTCGGCCACACCCACCGCATAAAGCTCTGGCCTCTCCTCCATAGACTGTATAAAAACAGCTCCCCTCCCAAAGATCCAAAAACTGTTACTCTTTCTGGTTTGTCCAGAAACCTGCCATTTTTAAAGTTATTTTCCTAAGCTCCCCCAGCACCTACTTGCAGTCTTGCCTCATTGTCATGGCAACGGTTCCCTGGTCAGATTAGGTCAGAGTTTGTTGTCGTTTGTTGGAAAATCATATCACACTGCTCAGACATTCCACGACCTCTACCACAGAACATTATTTTAAAATAATACTTCTTTAGTTTGGTCCATTTATCTCCTTACAAACATGTTCAGTCGGGTTAAAACCAACTCCGACCAATGCCGACAGGGGTAACACACTGATCCAACAAACTTGCGTTTGTCGGCGCGGTGTGAATTGGCCTTAAGGCAGCAAGTATAATGAATTGCAACAAGCTCAGTAAAAATACTTAGTGATGGACAAAGTTAAAGAAATGTTTACTGTTAATCCAAAAAGTGCCCTAATTTGACCAAAATTAGTGTGCATTATTAATTTTATGCGTATTAGAGTATTATGTCATTATCTTAGCAATGCCAACAAGCCAACTTCCCAATGAGACGTCAGTCCCATTAATGCATTGCAACAAGCTCAGTGAAAATCCATCTACTGATGGTGGATGAAGTTACAGAAAAGTTGATTCTAAATCCCAACAAAATGCATGTTTTTTTTGTTTTTTTTAAGTGTGTTTTCTTACACACAGAGTTGCTGCCTATCTAGAGTGTTCCGAATCAATCACTGAGGAGGTTCCATTTCTGTTAGGATGATCATGGATGTCTTTAATTACAAGCCAAGGGTTTTTATTCTCTCTTGCCAGATCGTTGTAACCCAGACCCATTGTGTGGTGTAATCCGGCCTTCACCCCTGCAGATGGATTTGGACATCTCTGTGCTGCTGGATGGGTCTGATAACCTGAACACTCAACAGTATGTAAACACGAAGGAGATCCTGCTGTCTCTGTTGGACCGGATCGGTGTGAGCAGCGAGCCGAGCAGAGCCGACGGAAAAACCAGGGTCTTGTTCTGGCGTCCTGGGGTGTTACAAAGTATTTGTGAAATCTAGCTAACAAAATATATATTGTGTGTTGGAGTGGTCCAGACGCTACAAATGGGAAACCTGGGCTTCATAAAACATATATTTAGTTTTTATTTGCACATTGAAATACAAACAGATGCTGCAATATTGAACACTAATTAGCTGTACAGGACACATTCTGTGCTTTTTAATGTTATGAATGCGTCTAACTGTGTTTCAGAGATATTCTGCCAACTGAAGCGCCCACCGAAGAGCCCTTCACAACAGAGGAACCTTTTGAGCAATATGAAGATGTTTATGATGAGCAAAACACAGAACCAATCACTGAACCCAGTGAATATGATGACACTGAACAATTTACAGAAGAGCACAAAAAGGACAAAATGGAGCCTTCAAAGACTAAAGGTGGTGAATCTAGATCTTACTGGCCAATTTAACCCTTGATTTAGCTGCTCTACCTTTTTTGGAGTTGCACATATCTCTGGCGTAGTTCTGTATCCTCACACACATTAAAAATGCATAAGCTTTTATGCTGTTTCTCTGACAGAGTTCAGTATTCAGTGCTGCAGGGAATTAATGGAGTGTACTGTTTGTTTCCAACAGCACGATGCTTCCTTGAGAAAGATTCAGGCCATGTGTGTGGATCGTATATGTCCAGATGGTATTACAGCCAGCAGACTAAGAAATGCATGCACTTCTGGTATGGTGGTTGTGGCGGAAATGAAAACCGATTCTTGACAGAGGATGAGTGCTTTAGGGAATGTGTGTCTACAGGTAAATTGACCGAACTTGCTTACTGATATTTAGGCTGTTCATAATCCATATTTTTTTATTGGTGTAAATTACAATTATTTAACCCTTGGTAATAAAAAGATATCTGCTGTTGTTTTGTAGGAGGAATCTTACCCCGGTCATCAATACAGACTCGTGATTGTCGTGGTTTTGTGGTGAGGCCTGTTGACTCTGGACCACAAACCACAGAGAGGTAATGTGATTTACTAACCACAGTCTTCCGACATAAAATCAGAAAGGTTAGTGCATGGTTTGTGTGTTTTCAAAACCATTTGGCACAGTCGGTTAAGTTTGGGATCAATAATTAAATGGTTTTAGGGTCTAAAATCATGTCAGTCTTATGCACACCCCTTCAAGTAAAGTGTTACCAAAAGATTAAATCCAATATTTAGTAATAATATAGCATAATGAGAGATTCATAAGCAATTTTTTGTAAGCTGGTATATTTCACCAGGAATACCAAGTCTAATAAGGTGTGAAAAAATCATACAAAACGTTGTTATACCCTGCATAATCAAAGTTATTAGATTTGAGTGCAATGTGAGAACATTAGCATTTTCATGAAAAATAAAATTCTGTTGGTCAAAATGATCGGAAATCAGCAATGGGGTTGATTTATTACTATTATTATTATTATTATTATTATTATATGTATTATATGTATATGTAATGAATTAATTAATATATTAACGTTGTAATGCATAATGCATTAATTCCTCTTTTACATATAGTAGTTTAACTATTTATAATAATTTAATATTACATTTTTAATGTATATATTCAATGCTTTCATGTAGGCCATTTACCTGTACAGAGTTTTGAGATTGTTCAAACTTCCGCCACAGAATCTGAAAATCCTCCAAAGGATGATTCCAGTATCAAGGGTAAAGACACATTTACTGTTCTTTTTTTTTATATAAAGGTAATTCCAATAGCCTAACCCTAACCATAAAATATTTAGAATTTCTAGAATGAAAACAAATTAATCGCATTATGATTTATTATTATTATTTTACTTTTCTTTTTTCACAAATGGAGATACATATGAGGAGCATCCCTGATTCACTAAAACAATCATGCAAATCAAGTATAAAATTATTGCTGAACTCAATATGCATGATGAAATATACAAGTATTAAAGGTGTGACTTTTGCCTCAAACCCATCAGTCTATTCATTATTGTGTGCAACTTAAAACTTTATTTCTACTTTTTCTGCTCATAGACATTTGCCAGCTCAAACTCGATGCAGGATCTTGCTCAAACTTTTCAGTGAAATGGTACTTCAACGTCCGCAGTGGTGGATGTGTCCAGTTCTGGTACGGAGGCTGTGACGGGAACAGCAACAGGTTCGACACTCAGGAGGACTGTGAGATTCGCTGTCTCAGGGCCAAAAAAGTATCTCCAAACATCTAAACTGTGATATCTAATGAATTTTAACAGCTTTATTCTTTCATGGTCATGATCGTATCCTCATCACGATTGTCAAATGGCAGCCATAGAAGCAGTTTTAGCTATATGTATTTGTATATTTAGCTAAACGTAAATTTATATTTAGCTAAATTTGAGTGTAGGAAAGATTTGATTACAAGAGCAGAATTTTTAAAGGTGAAGTTTACAATGATGCGTCATTAGTTGCACCAGAAAGAACTGCAAAAATAATGATTCACTTTCAGTAATTTCAGCCATCGCTCGGTTAAACTCATGCCACTTTCTGAGATAATGTTGTTAGACAGCTTAAACGTACAGATTGCAATTCTGTTTGGTGCCATTAGCAGTGCAGAAAAAAACATTGCTCACGTTTAATTTAAAACGCAATTTTAGATTTTTGTTTAAATCACCTTTATAAAACAAAATTTCTTGAGTGAATTAGATTTTTTTTTTTTTAAATGCACATTGTCATCAAGACGACTGTTAAGAGGAATAAAAACACTATGAAAATAGGAGTGTGTTGTACAAATTTGTATTTAAGGAGGCTCACGGTTTTGTTTTAATTGTTTTTGTTGCTGTTTGTTTGTTTTTTCTTTAATAAGTGTTTCTGGAAAGCCCCTGGATATAAAACCAAAAAACAGTCTAAACCGTTAACATTTTTTAGGGGATGCCGGCTTTTTTAAAAAAAATTTAAATCACTAAACATTTAGTAATTGAGAATAAAGAAAACTTTATACTGTAGGCTAGTCATTTGAAAACAGTAACATAAAATGTTCCTGCCAAAATTATTACATTTATATAATCTGATCTGCTGTTGCATGTATTTTTAGGGTTAAGATGCATGCCAGAAGAGGGCGCTGTCTCATTTTTAAAGCTAAATTGCATTCTGTCTTTCCCAGTTTAAAGGAATAGTTCACCTAAAAAATGTGCTAAACATGTACTCACCCTCAGGGCATCCAAGATGTAGATGAGTTTGTTTCTTCATCAGAACAGATTTGGAGAAATGTAGCTTTCTATCACTTGCTCACCAATGAATCCTCTGCAGTGAATGGGTGCCGTCAGAACCAGAGTCCAAACAGCTGATAAATCAACAAATCCATCATCAAGACATTTTTAATTTCAAACAGTCCCCTAAGCATAATAATGCTTTCTCCAGTGATAAAGTCGTCTCTGAATCAGGAGCGAAATATGCAGTTTGAAGTTTAAAAAATCTTGATGGATTTGTTTCTTAAAACTTGCAGCTTTTCACTTCACAAGATGTTAATTGAAGGACTGGAGTTGTGTGGATTACTTGTGGATTGCGATGGCCTGAGGAGTACATTTTCAGCAAAATTTCATTTTTGAGTGAACTATTCCTTTAATATGCAGAGACAACTATGAGTATACCATTTAAAGGTTGATTAACCCATTGGTGTGAGTTTAGGACGGGAATAAAGGTTTGTTTGGTAAACTGTCATTAGTTTTGCTATTCCGTATTCAGCTTTATGAGGTCCCAGTAACAACACAAAAGATTTTTTAATTCCATTTATCAGATTTAATGACAATTAATGCGTTTAATATAGTGTAGTAAAAGCACACATTACATTGAGAAGGTAGTACAGTAACTTCAGTCCTGTAATTCCCATATTGTTATCGACCACCGTTGACGATCCCGCCGGTTCAAGTGCAATCCTGGAGGCCGGTCAGAATCCCCCGCGGTTATTATTGCTGATGTGAAGCATGTTCAGCCCTTGTTTAGAGAGGAGGATTGTCTCCCTCAGAGACAGTATTGAGAAAGCGCAGGGGAATGTTCTTTAGAGAAACATCATATTAGCACTGAAGAGAACTTTTCTGATCGGCAGTCCAGAAAATACCTAAAATGTCCTATAATCATTCATCTTGTCTTATAGACAATTCTCTCACAACATTTAAAATAACCGAAACCAGGCTTGATATCATAATGAGAACATGTAGAACTAACAGAAGATTCTCACTATTAGAATGTTTACTCAGCCCTACTACAATCCCTTTTATTAAAGAATAAACACTATATACTATAAGGAAATATACACAGCCATTCTAAAGTATGATAATAGCATTCTAGTATCTAACAGTGTTGGGGAGTTATAGATGCTTTTTTCAATAAATCTTTTACAGTACCATGATTTAAAAAAATAAAATTAAAAAACGTCAGGCCCAAATTTAAGAGTTATGCATTTGAATTACATATAATCATCATCCACTTGGATTACACAGTTTTAACATAAACTTAAAAACTTAATGTGATGCATATTTGTCAGTCATAGATAAATAAAACAGGTACAATTTCTGCACTCAAAAAAAAAATATATATATATTATTAACTATTTGCATCTACTGCCAATTTTTTATTCAAATACTCATATATTCAAAATGTATTTATTCAAATGGCTTATCAGCATACATTTGTTCATTGGGGAAATTTATTTAGTTAAAAAGTATGAACATCGTTAAAATATGTCTAGCTGTGGAACAGGCAGTTAGTTGCAAAATGCATGAGACTTACATTTTTTTTTTGGATTTATTAATGATACACATATAAATCTGGTTATTGTGTATTTAAAACGCAGTCAGTTTACTAGTACTATTACAGAAATCTGACCCGTTTCATTTATCTACGATATTAATTTGCTGATGTTAAAACTGTGTAATCCAAATGGTCAGAAATTGTATATGCAATTCAAAAAGCTTAAATTTAAACCTAAATAATTTTGGAGTGTAGCTCAGCTGGCTTTAATAGCTTATCCAAAAACACGGTACTGTTTAGTAGTAGCAAGGCAGTATGAAAAACCCAACATTATCATCACCCACTGAAATACAGTAATAATCAAACATGCTCTCCTAACATGTGTCTGATTGATTTTAGTAAACTAATTCAGATTAAAATGCATGGCATTTAAGTGTTTTTTAAATAGTGAAATATTTTGTTAAATGTTGCTGTTAATTTTTTCAGCTTGGTTATATAAATTAGTGAATTCTAGTCATATTGTCATTTAATGTAAATTTATCTGTTTATCTAGTTGCTCTAATTGAGAGCGTTCATTTAGTCGTTCAAACTCCTCGTTGTTTTTGTGCCTGAACAAATCTGATAAAAGAAATAATAATAATTTCAGAGTATCTTTTTCTAAATTCCATCTATTTTAAATTAGGACTGGCTTACAGTTTGAAAGTATCTCCCCCAGCACTGCTGGTTTATTATACCAGTTTTGTTTGTCAAGTATCTCTGCAGGTGTAAACAACAACAACACAATCAGAAATAGAAGTAAAAGTCTTCTCATTATGCTGGAATGAGAGCTGTCAGTAAAATTATTCCACAACATTCTTTCATCTCTCTGTCAAATCATTTCAACCAGTCCAAAATAAGCCACCTATTCTCTGGATGAACGCTTCTCTCTCTCTTTTGAGAAGCGAAGCCATTTGAATGAAAAAGTTTTGCTTTAGAGTTTGGGAATGGGAACGCTGGATGAAACCTTGGAAGATCCTGGTGATGTCAAACATCCATATTTAGGACTGTTTATTAGTCAATTTTCTAACCATTATACAGTGGGGTCCAAAAAGTCTGAGACCACTTTCTTGCTTGTTTTCAGTTATTTTAGTTATTTTCAGAGTTATTTTACTTTTATTTACTATTATAGTATTTATTTATATTTTGAATTAGCTTTCATTTTTATATTTTCAGCTTTCATTTTAATTTCAGTTTAATTTTGAGTAATTTAAGTGCTTGTTGTCATTTTTATAATTTTTTATTTTAGTTTTAGTTATTTTAGTATCTATATTTATTTCAGTTAGTTTTGTGTATTTTTTTTTAAGTTTAAGTTGTTCATCTAAAATTTGTTTAATTTCAGCTTTATTTCAATTACTGAAAATTTTGGTCCGAAAATTGAAAATCTTGAGCTTCAATAGGAGCTTGAGCTTCAATCTAGCCATGCATACTTTGTCACAAATGTACTAATATCAGAATTAAATATTTCTCATTCACTTTTATAACTTTTATTTTGTTTAAAATATTTCAAGATCCTTTAACCTTATGTATTTAACAGTTTTTTTAAATCCCAGATTTTTAATGTGGTTTCAGACATTTAAACACCAACTCTGCTAACAAGGAACATTCTCATAACACTGAGAGAACCTTGCTAGAGCATTAGCCAAACGTTAATAGAACGTTCATTCAGAGTTATGTGGTCTTTAATAATGTTCTGAAAACATTAACACACACACACGCACACACTCAGGTTTGTTTTTATGGTTTATGGGGACTCTCCATAGGCGTAATGGTTTTTATACTGTACAAACTGTATTTTCTATTGCCCTACACCAACCCTACCCCTAAACCTACCCCTCACAGGAAACTTTCTGCATTTTTAGATTTTCAAAAAAACTAATTCTGAATTATTTATAAGCTTTTTGAATTACGGGGACACTGAAAATGTCCTCATAAATCACCTTCTCGTTGTATTACCTATGTCATACCCATGTTATTATACAAATTTGTGTATAAACCACATAAACATGCACACACACACACACACAAGTCTTAGTGGGACATTCATGTAACTTTTTTTTTAAATGTTACTTCTTGTTTCAGAATGTTCAGAGAACATTCAAAGTAACAATGTTTGCAAAATTCTAAAATGGAATGTTCCCTTAATGTTCATCTAACCCGCCAAAACTCGGACGTTTTGAATGTTCAGAGAACAGATGTAACGTTTTCGTAACATAGGAATGTTAGCAAAACGTTCCTAGAACAAATTTTTGTCAGCTGGAAATATATGTCCTGCATTTAGTGGCTTACTACAGTTTTACTTTTATTATAAAAGCCTTCATCACCATTGAGAGGAATGTGGATCATGCTATTTGAATTGGGTAAAAGAGAAAACCAGATAAAGGAGCAAAGCTCAAGAGTTTAAAAGAGATGATTTTGAATGGGTGTGGATCTCCTCGCCGACACCAGTTGTTTTTGTAAAATGATAAAGAGATAAAGAGAAGTGAGAAGGGTCTTTTTTCCATACATTTCTTTCAGAGGGGTTTCTCCTGTCCAAGAAACAGCCACAGATTCGGTCTAATCTCTAGATTGGCCTGTGTGAAAGTTCACCTTTCTGGCCTCTCTTTCAGATGCTCGTTGTGCTGGAAGGGTTATTCCAGCTGTTTTCAGGAAACTTCCAATATCCCTGCTTCCTGTTTTGAGGATGAGCACATATGGCCTCTGTAGCTGTGTGGTAAAAGCAGAATCCATTCCTGTCACACTTTGAAAATGTTCACAGATGGCGTTCGGTTATTGTTGTTGTTCTTGGGGAACTGTGGAGAGTGGAAGCAGATGTCTAATGTTAGTGAGAGGATTGGAGGGCGGCCTGGAGCGATCAGCAGAGAGCATAGTGCAATGAGTGGAGTAATGAAAAAAGAAGGATGCGAATGATAACTGTTTTGAGCAGCATCACATTTATCGTTCTCAGAGAATGCAATCACCATA